TTTTTTTTTTTGTTTAACCGTAGTTAATTTTATGCAGGATAAAAAGTTGTAAATGATAAATTAAGAAAACAAAATGTTTGTTGGAATGCAATAAAAAATGTAACATACATATTTTTATTTTTTTTTCAAAAAAAATTCTAGCCCGGGTAGATTTAAAATCCTGGCTCCGCCCCTGGGCCTATAGAGACAGATCTCCTAACAACACCTAATAGGACCCGACACCACTGGACTCCACCCCTCGTCAAGCCAGACGACCCCAAACCCACAACCGGAGATCCACACTACAGACCACCCCCAACACCGTCAATGACTTGAGCCCAGACCACAAAACACGGACCACGACCCAACCTCACTGGTCGTCCCCTCATCCCATCTCCAAGAGTACCAACCTCCACCCCGACTATTGCATAGAAGGTGACCGGAGTCGTAGCCCACTCTATAGAATCACCAAACTCCCACCACTGCGAAGACGTCGGGGAGCCGATGAACCTCCACCCGCCACGGCGAGCAGGACAAGGAAATCCACTGGGGGGTGACCCCCTCCGCTGGTGAAAAAAAAAAACAACAACGCCGAGCAATGATCCTCAAGGACAAGGTGTTGGAAAAAATCGGTTATGAAATTGTTTTCCTCAAGAATGAGATCTACAGTGTTCCCATAATTTTCGTAAGCCTATTGAAATAAGAACTCCACAATGTAGTTTGACATTTGGGTTACACGTCTGTCATTAACTATTCCTCCAGTGGTTCAATTTCAATCATTACAAGCAAGTCCGCAAATACAGGGCACACCTAGCAAGGTGTGCCAAGACTTTTTTAGAATGAGCATGTTACTTTATAAAATGAACATGTTTATACATGTTCATTTTATAAAGTAACATGTTCATTTTAAACTGTCTTGGCACACCTTGCTAGGTGTGCCACGACACACGGTAGTAGCACTGCAAGCAAGTCACCCTTAATGTACTTTGACATCTATAATTATATTAAAAGAATAACCATTTTAGAAGTTTCCCGCCAGTTTTATCTACATTACCCGCCAATTATCTAGATAAATAAGTGTTCAACAATTTTGATTAAAGAAATTCTCTTTTCTGTTTTTTTGGTATCTTTTCTGTCTTTAAGATCGTTTCCAATTCCAATAAAGTTTATCCCTAACATAAATCTACAAGGGTTAATCTCTCATATGTTATAAAATCCAGTACACGTCTCGCGGCCAGAAGCCTTTTCGTTTCCTCGCCTCGTGGCTTCTTCATCCTGAGTTTCCCGACCTTTTGAAGGAGACGTGGACTGCATCCCTAGGGTTCGAAGAGGCCGCGGCTAATTTTACATCTAGAGTTACGGAGTGGAATGTCCAAGTTTTTGGCAATATTTTTCGTCGGAAGCGCATTCTCTTGTCCCGACTAGGCGGTATTCAGCGTTGCAGGCGTTTCTACGTAACGGACCGGCTGGTGGTATTAGAAAAACAACTCCGGGCAGAGCTTGAAGAGGTTCTCCTTCAGGAAGAATTATTACTGATTCAAAAGGCCAATCGGGACTGGGCCTTTTTGGGGGACCGTAACACGTCGTATTACCACCGGCAAATTAAACATCGCAGGCGCCGGGGAAAAATACACGAGTTAACGAATGATGCGGGACAACAAGTTACAGATCAATCCACCCTTCGCCGATTAGCCACGGAATTTTTCACGGCCATTTATACTGCAGGGCCGCAACCAGCACCGGATGGGAGTTGGAGAAATTATTTTCCGGGTTGTGATGACGATAGTATGACTGCCATGAGTGTCGACATATCGGAGGACGAAGTTCATGCGGCCTTACATAGAATGGGACCTTTGAAAGCCCCGGGTATGGACGGCCTAAATGCGCTGTTTTTTCAAAAAAATTGGAAGATAGTGGGCCCCGGCTCCTGTGCGCTTATTAAACAAATGTGGCAATTTGGTTTTGTCCCAGATCAAA